GAATCGTACAGCAGAAGACACTTCACGATCCCTACCTGTTAGCTGCAGAACGTGCAGCTCACTCAAATCTGACTAGTCTTTTCAGGATGAGCCAGCAGCCAGCAGCTATGCATCTGCTGAGAGTTTCACAAGTGTTGTAGTTAGCCTAATGCAAATAATATCTCACACCTGTCTGGAATTAAAATTCAAATGGAAAGTGGGTGTTGGTTTGGTTCGTAGTGATCAGTGTGGCATAGGAAAGGCAACGCGTCCCTGCAAAAGAATCGTAGGGAAAGGTTAAACGCCAGCGAGCTATCTAACTCCAGAATAATGTACATTCTTCGAGAACTTAGTGGAGGAACAGCATCTTGGTAGAAAGTTCAAAACAGGCAGATTCGCAGCCTTCTTGGCATCATCAGATCCTGCAACCGCAAGCGTGTCATTCATCAGAACGGGTTGGAAAGGAAGCGATTTGAATAAAGGAATGATCAGACATCACTATGACCACAAGAGTTGTCCTAATTAGTTAATACTGGAAATATCTTTTGGTGTGCTTAAGCAAGTCGTCACTAGGACAAAACACCTTCCCAATGACTCCGAGTGGGGTCACTGCATGGCGCATACAAGAACGGAATGGATCTGCGCCAAGTGCATCATTTTCAATTTACTCCATCGAACTGACGTGTATAGAAGTATTTTGAAGGTGTTCAAAGAAGTCCCCTACTACGGCGAGGGAGTAATAGAGTTTTCGAGTGGCTTCAAAAATTTCCTTGACATTTCCTCGACGCAGATTTCTCGCGAACTAGAAAGCGTTCGAAACAAATGGAGCACCTGTTAGAAAGCGTGAATCTTCTACTTTACAACGCTTTCCTCGGATTTTCAAAGCATTGCCAATGAAGACAGCTACTGTCTTCCAAAGAGTGGGAACTCGCATGTAAATTTCAATTTCCTCGACAATTTCTCGACGTCTCCCACTCTCTCGAGAATAGGTGTGCTTAGAAAAACGCTCAGCACAATTTAGAAACTAGAAGTCTTGTGCATTCAAAAGCTGCCTTCACTTTCTGAAATGGTTATCAATGAAGAAAGTTATAGTCCTTTGAAATAGGGGGTACATTTGACGATTTTTCCAACTAGCGCGCTCTAGGCACAGCGCGCGACGCGATCGCGGGTAGTTAGCGCCGCTATACTGGAGCGCGAGACTGTTCAACTGTGTAGGGGCAGTACCTCCTTCAATGTTCTACTTTCCGGCCAATGTGGCAAAGGTTAAATGTCTTTAAAGGAGAACCTAATCTGAGCAGAATTGAATCTAGCATTTGGATCAAGCCGCATTTGCGTGGCAGCGGCGCTGCGTCCCTCTCGCACATCTGAAACTAGCATTTTTTGATATGAAACCGGATGTGCAGAGGACAAAAAGGGGTCGTATCAGAGTCCATGTTTTGGAGGGGGGTCGTAAAGAGGCGGTTATTTCCTCGACACGATTTTCACCCTGATAGGAATGCCATCAAAATTCGTACTACTCCGGTTAAAGACATCCCAAGACTGTGGAAAATTTTTCCACAGAATAGTTCGACCACTGAAAGTCATCACCAATCTTGAGAAAACTATTGCAGCCACTTCTAGCCGAGAAGATCTCCTACGACCGCAATCTATTCTGAGCCGTCCACGACCTTTTGACGAACCTATCTACGTAAAGCCAGCGATTCGTAAGTTCAAGTTCATTGTTGCCCCCATTATTCACTTTCCACCATAACAGTACCCTTTCCCCACCCAGCTGGATGGTAATGCAGACACAGTAACATTCATATCAGATAGTCAATAACATCTGTAAGAGCATAAGTTATCAGTCTCACACGGCCGTGTTAGATAAGTAGAGCAAGTAATTTGGGTACCAGACAGGAGGCCCGTCACACAGCGAGAATGCAGAGATGCAGAGGGGCCAGCGGATGAGTCGCGTATTGTGCATATGGAACGTACTGTAGTGCCATGTACGACTCTCTATTAATCTCGGCGTGATTGTATGTACAGTGCTTTCTATGCACATAGAACGTACTATAGTACCAAAGTATAGTATAGCATTGTTTCAAAACAATGCTTCGATTTGCAGGCTTCGAAGAAGGCGAGTGCGCCGAAACGTTAGCCGGATAAATCGTATATCAATCTCGGAAGCTTGAACAGAAGCAATTACAACTGTACTATAGTACCATTTAACTTGACAAAACCACTACAGTACGCGCTGCAACTCATCCGTTGGCCCGCCTGCGTTTTTGCCTTCTCGCCGTGCGACGGGCCTCCTGTCAGGTACCCCAGTAATTCACTTGATGGTGATCGTGAAAAATCGATATCGGGTGTTCTTTTGATGTCATTGACTATTTGATATAAGGTTGTGTTGCAAAGTCTGCACTCACGAATCACATAGCGCCGGGGCAGAGTGTAATATGTATGTCCTGTTATATTACAATTTTGAGACATGCACCGAATACCTTCTTTGAGGCTCTGCAAGAATAGCTCCTACAAGTGCATCTCCTCCTCATTCACGAAGCCAAATAAATCCTGAACGTGAATTCCGTGACGGAAAGTACTTTCGCACTAATTCTGCAGTCGAATACACACGATATGGAAGAGAAGAAGTGCAACAACCGCTTAGTAGATCTGATTCTTTGGATTCCGGTAGCCTTCGAATACAAAGGTGAGCTAAATGGAGATTAGATGAGATCCGTTTTTGTAGTAATTTTACCTCAAGATATGTTCGCTTGCCCCGATGGCGTCCTCAGTTGAAAACGTACACGCATTACGACAAGATTCGAGGAGATGTTGATAGGCACCGATATGGATTGGGAGAGGAATCTCGTCCAGGTTTTCTCCACCGATCTCCACAATTCTATGACAAATGTGATCTCTGCGTTTTTCAAGTGTTTCGACCTGGCTATCACTGCCCTGTGAGTAGAATCTTCAAAGGCACATTCCATGAAAACGAAATGCGGTAAGGCTCAAACACGAAAGTGAAGGCGCTGAAAGTATCTCTTTCGAGAAGAAGTAAGCAAGCTCATTGAGAAGGTCACAAACTCGGAGCTCTTCTAATATATATTCCGAAGGACGAGTTTACAACAATCACAAATTTAGAGAGCAGCAGAGAGCAAAGAAGAGAGCGATACGCAGACATCAACACACCCGCCCAAATTCATATTCCATATTCCATCAAGTTTATTCTGGATTAGTCTCATGGAATAAGCGTTCCAGCCAGGGAAACCGTGGCCAAGTCCTGTACGAGAGATACTGGGAGACATGATAAAAAGAATATAAGAAGGAAATTTTGACTTGTTTTTGTTTGTTAACTGCTGTTTTTGGCCGCAGTTCGCCTTGCGAATGTTTCACAAGAATGCTGGGTTGTGAACAAAACTTTCGCCCCAGGCGGGACTAGAACCCGCACCTCTCGCTTTCCGGGCAAGTGCGCTACCAGTTACGCTACCGGGGCACCATTTCATCCCAACTCAGCTCTTCATGGTGGAAGAAGAAGGAGAATTTTCTGCGAAATTCAGAATCGTGAAAACCTTGGAATCGATCTTGAAAATTTGGGAAAATTAGCCGTTTCAGCAATTTACACGTACTATTGAGATTTCTGAGTGGGGTTGATTGGTTAGAGGTGTGTCAGGTTAAGGTAAATAAGGTTCAGCTACACTATCCACAGCATCCAATCCAGAGTGGTTGAAGGGCGTTGTCGGCCGATTTCAAAATTTTCCACGACCTCCTCTCAGGGGAGCGGAGGCTTCAGTAGCACTCCTAACCATCACAACACCACTGTACATAGCATTTAGTTCTGAGACCAGTCGATACTCCTCAACTCCGCACACTTTCGCCTTCAAAACGAGAGAAGAGGATGTAGGATGTCTTAAGAAAAGGCGTATGCTACAATTTTACCAAGTTCACGCTTCTATACTGGAATTTCTCCTTTCTTCGGCTTCTTGATTCTTCTCCTTAGCGTTAGTCCCGCGCAGTCGCAGGGTCCGCTGTCTTTGTCAGTCGTCGCCACTTTCTCTGTCCAGGGCATCTTCTGCTGTGGCCGTGACTTCACTTAGGTCCTTCTTGATCACGTCTCTCCACCTCTTCTTTGGGGCTCCTCGCGGTCGCTTGCCTTGCGCTTCGAAGTCCATCGCTTTCCTTATCGGGTGATCCTGTGGCCTCCTTAGCACGTGCCCATACCATCGCAGGCGCTGCTCTCGCATCCTTCAGCTGGACAGGAGCACCTGCATGACCACTCTAACATCCTCGTATCTGTCTGACCCTGTTTAGTCGTGTCCAACGGTTATCCCCGTCAACTTCGTTCCGAGGTCTACGTCACAGCCTTTGACGCCCTTAAAGGATGAATTCACGATAAGAACGAAGGTCAAAGAAGGGAAAATTGCATAGTTGGGAGACAGGCGGACCTCCTGAGGGTGCTGACCGACGCGCAATTGGCAGCGAAAGATTTGACCTCGCGATCTAGCATGGCTCACTCTTGGCGCGGTTGGCGGGGTACGCCCACCGACTATCTAATCACTCGCCGCAATACGTGGCGAGTGATTAGATAGCAGAGAGAGCGTAGTGTTGAAGAGGGCAGCGATGAGAGTCGCATCAATGCGCAAATCAACGGGCAAGGAAGGGGTCCCATTTCTCGGGTTTCGGGCCGTTTCAAATGGTTTCTTCTTCATCCCTGCTCCACTGACCACCTCTACCCTTATTTCCAATGAGCTAACTTTTCATCGTAAATTCTGCCTTTAACTCACCATCGTGAGTTGCAAAATCAGTACAGTGCCTTCACTTGTGCATCAATCTACCTCACTCAAACAATAAGACAATTTCGCCCAGCTTGTCGTGGAATGTGCCTTTAACGTGCGTTGTTCGTTAATCGATCTTTATGTTGCCAACTCAGAGATAATCGCAAATTAAGGCATGTGGGCGGGGTGAGGTTTTGAGAACGCGGGCCACTCCAGTAACGGAAAGTGCTGCGTATCCACCTTCACAAATTCTCAACGCAAGAACGCTCAATGTACAAAGGCATGATGAGTTCACCCCTGAACTACCATCAAAGCTCTTCTCCACTGGTATGTTGATCCGTTGTAGTACTATTGTCCTAGCAGCACCAAATATGGCTAAATAACTCTTGTTACAGAATTCCGAGAGCTTTATCCAATCGCTCGACGCCTTAGTCGCCGCCAAACCAAGAGCCCCGTCTATCGCTATGGTACATTTGATATTGTAACTGAGAAAACTATCTCGCCTAACGAGGATTAATCAGATGAATTCCAACAACTGTGAGATTCGAAGCTAATTCGTGTAAATTGTAGGTTCAGCTGTGCCACCGGCTCTGTATGACTACGACGTTTGGGCGTGCCGTCAAGACAGACGCTCGTTGATGACCCACGCTGCAATACTCGCCCTGGTTCTGTTCTCAGTAGCGTTTGTTATTTCAGCCGGAGTAATCCTCGTTGTCACTGTCACATAAAGTTTCTCTTACGGTGATCCTATATGCAAAACCTTGCTCAGATAATATTTTTGAGTAACCACTGTGCAGGAGGAGTGGAACAGCTACTTGGCTACGCGCGTGATCGTAAGATTAAACCAACTCCTCTCCCTCCAGCAATGAATGAGTGTTACCAAACTTGTCTTGGAGAAAAACACATTGACTGGGCTCCGCAGTTTGTTGCAGAATTGAAAAAAAATCCGCTCGAATGCCACTGCGATTCTGAATGACTACGTGGAAAAGTCCACCGGCGGTGCGGACGCGTTCGCGTTTTCGTGACGTCACAGCGGCGACGAGGAGCGAGCAAGAGACTACCAAGGATGGGATTCGTCAAGTACTCCAAGCACCTACCGTGTCCTTACCTCATTGTGTGATAAAAAGACTAAGTAGGAATCGAATTCGAAAAACGGACTTTGAAGATCAATTCACTTGAACTTGACTGTTCACTCCTGAGGGTTTGCATCAGTACGCGCTCGCGTCTGCGCCCCTGGTGAGCTTTCCTCTCCCGCCATTCTGAATAGAAGTCAAATGCCTGGTGTATAATAGAAGGGTTTTCTTATGCCAAGCACTTCATTCTTGCCTTGACCTTATTCTAGTAGTGTAAAGTCACATTGCGATTAAATGATTGAACCAAACCGTCATGGGAAACAAAACTGCTGGCTCAGCAACCTCACATGGGGCCTAATTCGTTACTCAAAACGATTGGATCACCACTAGAAGTTTAGAACCAAACCAGCGCACGCCCATACAGTCAGCACGCTGACTGTTGAGATCTCTGTTTCGCGGCAAACTTATGGTAAGCTCCCTCGCGCTGTACCTCTTACAACTAAACTATTGGTCTCCCAGGCTCTTCAACCAACCAGAGTACGAACGACCTTATTTAATGCGTTTCCAGGGATTCCTTCTCCTTTTTTTCTGTCCATTTTCCAGTCAACTAGCATCTATTGGTTCTTTTCTACTCAATTACCCTCCAGGAGTAATTGTGCCTTTCCGAGGAAATCAGAAAAAATCCAAAAAAATATAACAAAAGTGATTATCATGTGTGAGTTCTCTGATCACTTTCTCGAGAAAAATGATAAAATACGGAGGAAGCGAGAAGCTACGTTACCTACCTAAACAGTTCGCACAATCCAACGCATGCACGGCTGGTCCACCAGCGCCTGCTCTTTCTTTTCATCGTGTTTCTATCGAATGACCATCGATTTTCACCGCAAACAGAGCGACGGTGTGAACTCCACTACCTACAATGATACTACTTTTCTTGATCCCATCTCTCTAACAACTTCCTCTTCGAGACAATCCAAGCCTGACCATGGATACATAAAACAATATCAGGAAAGCCCATGACAGAGCCTAGCTCGAAGCTTATGCAGTTGAGCCGATGTCAGACTTTGCGAATCGAGCGATTCACTAGCGTCCGCGGTCGCATAGCGTAAGCAAATGGCTCGATTCGCCGCACGTAACGCCCCCCGAACGCTAGTGAATCACTATTTGCGGAGCTTCACATCAGCCTGAGCGGGTCACTTATCATTGCAATGCGCTCGTAGTAGTGCCTATTCCAAAAACTCAGAGGATCTGAACCTCTTCTCCCATGCTCTCCAACCTGACTGTAGTGAACACTGGTTACAAGAATTTTAATGATAATAATTAAACATTATAACTAATTTGTAATAATAATCACAGGAACAATACATATCGGACATAATAAATGAAGATACTGCTAGAAAACCGGTCCCAACTCAAATCAGTACATAGATGTTCACGACATTAGGCACGATTTACCTCAGTGAGGTACGTACATAGGCAGAAAACCCATTTGGCACGAAACTGTTTTGTAAAACGTGTTTAATGTGTTATAAAACAACAATTAGACCATAACTGCAACTTGGGACCGGCATCCCAGGAAGTCATGGAAGCTATCATTAAACACATATGACCGCCAATAGCTGGGATATTGTCTACTACACATCTGCTACACATAAAACACACATGTACTAAAACAGCCCTATACGAAAAAAAATTAATTATAAAACTACAACAGAGTATAGAGAATAATCTGCTGCACTTCTAAACCCATCAAACAATACCTTTCGATATCTATAATACAGTCCTGTTCAGTCCTGAACATATACTACTAAGCTAGAAACACTGTTCTGTTTCTCATCTTAAAATCACGAACCGTTGTGCTGATAATGGCACGAATTTTCATGTTGTCGCTTAAATTTGGCACAACGACAACAACAATAATAAAGTACGACTTGAACCTTTCATACTACAACGCTAAAAATACAGCAATCAACAATCCTCATGAGGTCGCACACGTTTCGATGTCTCAAAATCATTAACAGTCAAACAGCCCTAACTGCTTTCTAATAATTACTTTACAGAACCATATATGATATATTATTGAGACAATTTCTTACAGAAATAAAACAGTACATAATAGTATTTTTAATAGCAACCACTCATACGGTGGCAGCTTTACACGAGGCCAATTTCACATCAAAACTCAGGCATATTTCGATGAACGACGGAATACGTGCCATCGTCCTAGGACCTTCATTTATCTCATCTAAGCTACAGTATAATTGCATAAGCTTTTACACAAACACCGAAAACAAGGCAAGGAGACTCCCGATTCTCAGCTCAAAAAATTCAAAACGTGCTATAGTTCTTCTCCACCTCCTAAGATGAGCTGTTCATAAAGGAATTTTGTTTGTGTTTGATGGTCAATATCTCAAAAGAGGTATTTTATAGAGAGAGCGCCTGAAGATAAGGGGATTAGGAATTAGGCCTTTTCAGATGTAAATTGGGAATTTTGATGCTAGTTTTGAAATTTTGACGAGTACCCTTCGATTTAGATTTCCGAAAAAATAATGCTCAGTGTATGGCCACCACTGTATGAGAAATAAAACGATAAAACGCGACAAACTGTTCAAAAGAAACTGAGTAAGGCCGACGCCAGACTTTGCGAATCGAGTCACTAGCTGTACGCGACGCGACCGCAGATGCTAACGAACCGCTCGATTCGCATAGTCTGACATCGGCCTAACGAAACTATTCCGAGCCTTAGAGTCACACTATAGGAAGATTCGGCAGAACAGAATCTGGTGAATAAACATACCGACCCAAAAGGGCACAGAAGAGGAGAAGCACAGTTAAATCATGTGCTGTTCATACGGGGGCTAAAGATGCGATCATCCGCGAGCCTCTTTTCCTATAACCCAACAATAACCTACCCTCCTCTTCAAAAGCGAGAAAGTGTCGGGTGCAGACCATGCACCACAAGTGACGACGGCCTTCACAAAATGTTAATGTTTTCTGCCAATGAAATGATTAGCCTGTTGCAGTTGTATTCTATCGATTGTCACTAATTACAACTATCATTTACCAGAAATCAGCTATCACTATGAACAACTTCTAACCAGATTTACTTGGAGGCCGTCGTCAGTTGTGGTGTTTGGTCTGCACCCGACACTTTCTCGCTTTTTGAAGGGAGGTTAGGTATGACGCTCTCATTAGCTTTTTTGAACACTATCGTCGCTCAAATGGTACATAGTGATCTGCCTACATTTGCATTCGACAACTAACCGTTTTCACATCACAGTAAATACGCTCAACAAAACAAAAGTTCATACGTCCCAAATAAAGTAACGATTTCTCTGAGCAATCTTTAGACGCCGCAGACCGCTGACGTGTTTACGTCGGTCTACAGGCAGTGAACAGAGTCGAAGCGGTGACACGGAAAAACTAATTCGGGCAGAAGGAGCTAGTCCAGTTCAACTTTGGCAGCTAGGATGCGTGCAAACGCCGCATGAACAACGTCCGGGCATGAAACGAAACAAATTCTGCTATCGTCACCTACAATATTCCTCACTGACTCGCGCAGAGATTCTCCTGCACCAACAAACAGAGCCATAGCACCCTGAAATGATTTTATATGTCGCATAACAGAAGTAAATGAAAAATAACAATAAACATTAATATGCACCACAAGAACTGATTGCCTCTCTGTGACTAAAACCTGCTGCTGTGTCTTTTTGACTTATTTTCAAGGCCGGAAAACAATAGGTGTCATCACTGATAAAACTGTTGATAGATTGATGATGTTTCGTTTTCAAAAGACATAAAAAAGAGATACGGAGATGTCTGTATAACGGGCGGTCTGTAATGTGTTTAAAGATTCTAGAGCGGACCGAATTCAAGTTTTTTTTGAACTACGACTTCCTCGTTCTAAAAACTAGCTGTGCATCAGAAAGCACCCGCCCCCTTTAATCACATACATCAGTGGTGCTTATTTCTCAGTAATCATTAAATGAAAGGTGCAGAAATACAAACACTCACAGTTCTATTTTCCGACACGGCATGTTGCAACATTGGCAAATCACTAGTGGTGTCACCTGCCACCAGAACCTTTCCATTTTTCAAAGAGTCGTGAAGAGAAGCTATAAGCGCTGCTACACCGTCCCCCTTATTCCAAACAGATCCTGAAACCAGGAATCTTCATTATTGTTGACAAAGTGACATTGTCACCAATCAGCAAAAGTGACAACGTGCAACGTAAGCAGCACTACAAACTCGATCGAACCTGAATTGTGGACGCAAACTTCGATCTCAAGCGGCGAGGACGTCTCCAAGACGAGGTTCTAAAGAGCAACATTATAAAATGTGCTGTCAATACAAACAAAAAGCAGTGCACGTTAACGACTGCTTGCTCAAAAAGCGGATGATAATTATTGCCAATAGATATACACTTCGTCTTCCTCACCCAGCCGAGTCATAAATGCCAAATCAACAACGTAAGCGTGCAATGAAACGACTAAGCATCAGAAATCACACACACTTGAAATTGGTTTTTAGAGGCCTTCCCCAACTGTGTTATCCCATGCCGATTCTGCAGAAAAGCAAGAGCCTCAAAAAATCAATATTACTTGTGATTCCCAGTGTTATTGTTTGCTTTACCTCACATATTGCTAAATCTGCAATAACACCCGGCTAGTTGCGGCGGACAAAATGTACCTAGTAAGATTTATCATACTCTCGCCAATAGCACCAAAGCTTGCTGTGTGAAGAAGCTCAACATTATGAAACAGACGACGAGACCGTTACTCACTGTGTTATTGGGGTCAACGCGATGAATTCTGTCTTTAACAGCTTCGATATAACGTACGACAAGTTCCAGTGGAACATGACCGAAAACTGTTTGCACTCCAAGAGTAAGACGATCGACCTTAAAAAGAAGAAAAGGAATTTACATTTGAAAAAATTAAATTTGAAAAAAGATGGCAAGCGCTTATTGTTAAGCAATAAGAAAAACTGTGTTCTAGGAAGACTTCGAAAAGATTCCAACCTATTCGCCTAACAAACTTCACGAAAATTTTCATCTCAAAAAACATGTTTCATGAAAACTTCCTACTTTCCGAAAGACACACGGCTAAGAAGCCCAATCGTCAAAGTGCGGTCGATAGTACTGATTTTTGAGCTAAAATGAACATCTTGACCAACCTTTCTTTGTACTCCACTACCGACGAGCGCAAATTGTGAGAAAGCACCATTGTCGAGTAAATCGGTCATCTGGTAGGGAAAAATTTTCATCTTCAAAACACACAATACAACAATTTTTGACTATCAACTCATACCTCATCGCTAAGGCGGCCAATCGCATCGAAACCCGCTTCAGAAATGCCATCGTCATGCACAACCCGTCGTCCACGCAGCCACCACTCACGACCCCATGAGCCACTAAAAGCGAAACAAAATTATCTTTCAATTGTAGTTTACGCTTGTTAAAACTCATTGAATCACTACTCTTAGGAAACCACAAGAAAAAAGCAGAAAATAAGACATTGAAGTAACGCGCTGTTGGATAAACAAGTAACCACGTGGTCGACTTCTTGAGTGGAAAAAAGAACAACGAACAAAGAATTTCCTTCCATGTCTTGACTTGAAAAATGAGTTACCGCCGTTTTTTGAATTTTTTTTTGTTTTCACACCACCTTCCAGAAACATCCTTGAAGTAAGATAGCCATTCGGAAGCAGGGTCAACCGTCCGTTCGAACTGTTCGAACGGGGGGGGTCGCATTTGTGTTCTGGAAGGGGAGAGGGGTCGCATCTGTGTTCTGGAAGGGGAGAGGGGTCGCATTTGTGTTCTGGGAGGGGAGAGGGGTCGCATTGGTCGCATTGCGCGCTTTGGTGATCAGGGGCGCAGGGCATAGGTGCGTGCGAAAAAAGTTGCCGTTTCACTGGTTGTATATACCCCCCCCCCCCCGCTCGACGGCTGTTTTTGGGGGAAAAGTGGGTGGAGTTTCGGAGTTTTAGGTAGGTTTTGGGCTGTGTCAAATACTATAGAAGAGGGAGAGGTCGCGGTGGAGGAAGGCTGGTTGTATTGGGGGGTCGCAACTGTGGGGTCGCAACTGGACCCTCTCGAGAGGGAGGGGGTCGCAAAAATCCCGAAAATGTTCGAACGTGACGGTTGACCCTGTTCGGAGGAGCACATTTCATCACGGAAATTGTGCTACCATTTTCAAAAACCTTAGTTTCAATCCATTCTCAAGCACTTTAACTGGGAGGTGTGCGAAACATGTGAGTGGGTATTCCACAGCTGTCATTCGTACTCTTTCACAATTGAAAAACCAGTCCGGATATTCGTACCTTTCATGAGGAGGGGCGATTTAATTGAGAAAGTGTTCTTGATTGAACTGCCAAGTTCAGTTATACATGGGCGACTCCAGTTTAGTGGGTAGTTCATTGGACACCCTATCGACTTCGTTGGAGAACATCCGAATACACTTTAATCTAGGACAATCACCAAAAGGAGAGCGTTAAACGTGGAATTAAAAGCAATGTACCTATGACCATCGTCTCTTCAAATCAACTTCTTTTTCGAACCCTTGGTTCTTTGACGAATTTGAGGAGAGCCCAGAGCAAGATATGCACTCTAGGTCAGGTCGCCAATACAAAATTTCTTGGAATCAGCCCTATATCACTTCCACAATTTGGAACACCCTCTTCCTGAATGTGACGGATATCCACAGTACTCAGTGCAGTATTCTACGAAACAAACGTTGAAAAAGGGCTTCTTTGACGCCGTATTTTTTACATTCCACTCCCAATAGTTGGAGAAACCATATACTTTTAATGTTAAGTTGTCCCACAAACTCTCGCGTATTCTGAACTTCTCTTCGAGCCTACTTTTTTTCGAGCACAGTTATACCCATCATTATGCACCATCACTAACGGTAATTTGTTGCCAATGACCAACCAAAGAGTGGCCCTTTAACTCCCAGGGGGCTGGCAGTTACGAGCTGAAAAAGGCAGTGAGGTCGATTTTGAGGTGCTAAAGGAATCGTGTTTTTTGTCCACAGGATGACTGTTGAGCAAAAAGAATTGACGTCCTTTGAAAGGAGGGTATCCACCGTTGCATGGTAGATATTGTAGGACTTTTCAGCTAAGCTTCGATAATTTTCGAGACGCACGTAATCTCGGTTCACGTGAAGCGAACATATTTTTTGAGCTTCAAGAATAGTTACTGGAGTTTCACAGTGAGTCTAAGCTGTTGATCATGTTCGACTTGATGAACCTCAAAGTTGTAACAAGGGAAAGGTTTCTAGTGGCAAACTCGAGAGCGCTCCAAAAGAGGTGGAGCACGACCTTGTGGTGAATTTCTTCACTTTTCACCCTCTTCTGTCCGATCCAGTCCCTGGAGATTCTAGGTGTGGTTGTCATGGAACCTGAGCTTCTCAACTGCAGTAGTGGCTTTGTTCAACCAGGGCGTACGGATGGAGTAGGACACAAATTGTAGACGGGACTCGTGCCGCACTCCTGTCATCAGTGGTCAATTCATGAGGGAATCTTTGGCAAAGGCTTCAACCCTTACGAAGGAGCATAGAACCTCTATTAACTGTACATTAGAAACATTAGGGTGTGGTGGCAGTATGGTAGGTTAACTCATGCGGATGAGCTCCAACTGGAGAGTGCAATCCGACCAAATACGACACGATGGCCTTCTTAAACAAGAGCACTACTTCAAGCTGTATTTTCCTAAGCGAAGGAAATAACCCATTTTGATACCCATGGCCGCTACGACGAAAATTTATCGCATAGCAATGTTACTTCCGGCTTCAGTCGGTTAGGGGCCGAGTAGAAGTCCCTCGAACCAAAGCGTAAAATTTCTTTTTCTCGCTTTGAACTCGAAGAAGCGTACTAGGGCGAGC